GGAGGGGTATTTTACAATAGTGGACGTATCTAGGCAGATAGTAATCGTAGCGGCTTCAAATTCAGTAATGTATACTAACAGCTTTGGCATGTTAAAGCGTGTTCAACGCGTAATTAATATATATTGCTCCTTCGTGTGGAAAGATTCATGTGATCGTGGTGTGCTTGGGGTTTAGTATAGAACAAGCGAATATGATCTAGTAAATCAATTTGTAATGGTATTAAATTCATTATCTGTCTCTTGTATGTTCGTAGAGGGTTTGTGCTTCTCATGACAGCGATCAGTGTTATCTGGTTGCCAGTCATTCAGACCATGCAGGGAGGTGAACTGTTCCACTACATACAAACGATTGCTGCGTATCTTGCACCACCCATCGCTGCTGCTTATGCGCTTGCGATTTTGTGGAAGAGACTAAATGAGAAGGTAGAGTTGATAAATTAATCTAACCGTGATCATGTTCATCATCCATACCTCAGACTTGTGAGAGGTTGTGGGCATAGAATTCATCCATTATTATCCTCGCCGCACAGCCGATTAAGTTGATTATGGTCTTCGAATGTATTTCATTTATGTGGGTTCTGTTTTGGAGATCGTACTGGTGTCTAGGAAAATTATGTTGCCATGGGGTTTGTTTTATTTCCTGATTCATGTTTACCATATCAATTACACTATAGTGTACGGCTAAGTACGTAAATAGCTCGATCAGCTCAGTTCACAAGATGAATTAAGTGTTCGCCTATCGTGCAGGCATTGTGATTGAGGTCTTATAATTACTGCCCAAACAAGTACCAATTTTCCAGTTTGATTTAACTACGTAGCAGACGTTTTTGTTATTAAAATCGCTAATGGATGTTATTAGTGACAGTAAACATGAAGAAGAAAAGGAAGAAGAAGAAGAGGAAGAAGAAGAAGAAGAAGAAGAAGAAGAAGAAGAAGAAGAAGATGATGATGAAAAAGAAGAGGATGATGATAAAGAAATATTATTTATTTTTGTCAGGGCTGCTTCTGGGCTCTCGTGATTGGGTTCGTTGTTGGAATTACACGAATGATCATGGACTTCTACTACCACGAGCCGACGTGCGTAGAGGAGTGGACCGACGGCGACCCACGCCCTGCGTTTGTGAAGAATGTGCACTACATGTACTTTGCACTGATCTTATTCTGGCTAACCATCATCACAGCAGTCATCATCAGCCTGATGACAGCACCACTGCCAGAGAAACACGTAAGCCCAATCATTATCTGCGTTACCAGGAGCGTAGCTAACCCATAATTTTTGTTTGGGGGACCCCGGGGGGGGGGGACAACGCACGCGCGTGATGTGTTCTGGGAAGGTGACCACCATTGACTATGTGATGTCTCTACATTTCTCTTGGGGGCAACTGCCCCTTGCCCTGACGCATATATAGCTACGGCCCTGATTGCACTACGGCACTCAATTCGTTTACCGTAGACAAGGTGATTTTATATTGGTTGCTCAGTAAAATTTTACAACTTCATGCTGGACAATGTGACGCTTACCAGCTTCGTTTAAACATTCACTTGTTAATTGTTATACGTGTAAACCATAAAAGACTTTTCCAAGTGGAATTTCAGGAAATTGAAACACTGTAGATTTTAATAATTGCAGTTAGTGAGAACAACGTACTGGACTCGAAATGACCCTCATGAAGTTGAGGACAAAGAGCATGTTGATGAGACAGCAGGAATTCATGATGATGAGCAGAGAGAAATTGAGATCCCATTGCAGGAAAAGAACAAAGATGAAAGTACACGTGAGTGCGCCTCTCTTAATTGTGACTATATATGCAATCTCATGTTGGGCTATATATGTTATTAGACCGCACAATTATGGGTATAAATATCAGAGGCTTCAGTTTATTGTAGTTTTTAGTGCTTGTATAGTCGTTTCTATGACATATGTGTGTGTATAAATGAATAAATATATATGTAGGCATATATATATATATGTATATATTGCAGATAACGAGAATTCACAATAAATTCATCTGGTTTTATTTAAATAACTTATATTTGCGGTGTGTAACACAGTGGATGTGATTACTTCAGGGGTGGACGAAAAAACAGAATTACAAGTGGAGCATCATGTGGCGACTTACACATTTCGTAAGTATCACCACTGCCAGAGAAACACGTAAGCCCAATCATTATCTGCGTTACCAGGAGCGTAGCTAACCCATAATTTTTGTTTGGGGACCCCGGGGGGGGGGGACAACGCACGCGCGTGATGTGTTCTGGGAAGGTGACCACCATTGACCATGTGATGTCTCTACATTTCTCTTGCGGGCAACTGCTCTTTGCCCTGACGCATATATAGCTACGGCCCTGATTGCACTACGGCACTCAATTCGTTTACCGTAGACAAGGTGATTTTATATTGGTTGCATGGTAAAATTCTTAGTAAAACTTCATGCTGGACAATGTGACGCTTACCAGCTTCGTTTAAACATTCACTTGTTAATTGTTATACGTGTAAACCATAAAAGACTTTTCCAAGTGGAATTTCAGGAAATTGAAACACTGTGGATTTTAATAATTGCAGTTGGTGAGAACAACGTACTGGACTCGAAATGACCCTCATGAAGTTGAGGACAAAGACCATGTTGATGAGACAGCAGGAATTCATGATGATGAGCAGAGAGAAATTGAGATCCCATTGCAGGAAAAGAACAAAGATGAAAGTACACGTGAGTGCACCTCTCTTAATTGTGACTATATATGCAATCTCATGTTGGGCTATATATGTTATTAGACCGCACAATTATGGGTGTTTTTGCTTGTAATGTATTCTAAATATCAGAGGCTTCAGTTTATTGTAGTTTTTAGTGCTTGTATAGTCGTTTCTATGACATGTGTGTGTATAAATGAATAAATATATATGTAGGCATATATATATATGTATATATTGCAGATAGTGAGAATTCACAATAAATTCATCTGGTTTTATTTAAATAACTTATATTTGCGGTGTGTAACACAGTGGATGTGAATACTTCAGGGGTGGACGGAAAAACAGAATTACAAGTGGAGCATCATGTGGCGACTTACACATTTCGTAAGTAGACCTAGTGAGCTAACAGCAAGTAATGAGTTCATTCATTCGATATCAATGATCTATTTATCATGATCATGCTTATGATCAGGGGTTTAAGCATGAGCATCATGAACAGTGGTGGCCAAATAGTTCTGAAGTTAAATTCTCAGACATATGGCTATCCCTATCAATTTCGGCTGGTTCGTGTGTGGAGCAGTTAGTTCAGAATAGTATAGTTGCGGGTGGAACTCCAGAGATGTGCCTATAACAGTAGGTTACTTTGTACTGTTATTAACAACAAACGCCTTGGCTCATCATGGTCAGCTTTGACGGGAGTTTAAACTTGTGTTCAGGGCAGATGACGACGTCAGAGCTGCCATGTTCTTTGCGTCATTGCTGCCATGTTCTTTGCGTCAGAGCTGCCATGTTCTTTGCGTCATTGCTGCCATGTTCTTTGCGTTATTGCTGCCATGTTCTTTGCGTCATTGCTGCCATGTTCTTTGCCGTCTTTGCTTCAGTCGTACGCTTCGTGAAACCAGCCTGGGACTGGTTCTGTTGTCGCTCGACTAGCTCCGCCGCGGGAGAATTGCAGTCAAGCGGAGTTCCGGCGCCCACCTAACACAAGCTGACCTCACTGAAGCAGGACCCGAGGGCCAAGTTCTTCCTAAATGTGATGCTTGTGATCGTTCTCTCAATGGCGGCCTTCTTTTATATATTCTTCTCTACGAGCTGGTGGCTGTTGTTTGGTTTGTTAGAGGAAGAGAATGCCTAGTTGCATGCATGTGTGGTTTAGCAGGATGGCGAATAATGGCGCTCTTCGTGTTACTGGTCTTAGATCTGTTATTTGTGTTGGATTGTGCCGCGTGCTACTTTTTCCTGCCCCGTATTTGTTTTATATAATCAGACGTGCAAACGGTGTTGTGATTGTGTATTGTTCTATTGGCAATCTTTTAAACAGACAAATCAATTTAGCAGTACAAGATTCTAGAACGTTTTCTTATTTTGAAAAGATTTGTAGACTATAACAGAAGGCAGCACTCACTTAATCTAATATGTTTTAGCTTTATTTACATTACGGGTATTTGCATGGCATGAGCAAATTAGAAGCAAACTAGAGTCTCTATATATATGTGTCAGTGTGCGGCAGCGTGCGCGCGGTGTACATGTGTGTTGCAGAGGAGCATTTGCACGGCATTTACTGGAAATTGTCGGCAAAAATAGGCGAAAGAGAGTAGAGAAACATTAAGACTTTGGTAGTAAATAGATTTCGTATTTATTTAGCATTATATTTTATTGAAACGCTCCAAGTGCCTGCGGTTTGAGTGGTAGTTGGGTATCGCTTAGTAACAGCAGTCCATACACACACAAACGTATAGGAAGATGGAGCTGGTGCGTCGGTCACCGTTGACTGCCAAAATAATTTTCTCCGGCCGTTCTTACACATTCAAAGTGTGACTGCTAACAGAATTTTCTTCGGCCGTTCTTATACGTTCAAACCGGAGCCGGGCAGGCTGATAGCACGTGTGCATGCTAAAATCCGGTCTATACTATTCACTTTGCTCGCAGCATCACGCCCTCGGTTCTCCGCTATGTCGATATTAATGTACGTGCAGATGGCGCTCGTGCGTCGGTCACCGTTGACTGCCAAGAGAATTTTCTTCGGCCGTTCTTATACGTTCAAACTAGTCGCGGGCGGGCCGACGGCACGTGTGCATGGTAAAATCTGATCAACATGCTCACCGCATCGCGCCACGATTCCCAGCTATGGTAATGTACATGACCGCTCCGACGTCGGTCGCTTATGCTTCTTCTCGGAAGATACTGCGCATGCGCTCACACACTAACGTAGCTAGATTGTGTACTGACTAGTATATGCAGCAAGCACCTTACATGCAAGATCTTCTTCCTGTTTCTCAAGAGACGTCTACTGCTAGCATAAGTCCTCTTCATTTTAAATGCATAATTTTTGCGATATATCCTTCTTCTCTATATATAGTTATTCTTGTTATTCTTACTTCTCTTTATTCTTGTTGTTTGTGCACAGCGGCGTGCGTGCGGTATACTTGTGTATTGCAGCGGAGCCTTTGAAAGGCGTTTCCAGTAAATTATCGGCAGTAATAGGTCAAAGAGAGTAGAGAAACATTAAGACTTTGGCAGTAACTACATCTCGTGTTTATTTATCATAATTTTACTATTGAAACGTTCCAAGTGCCTGTGGCCACGGCGGCCTGGCTTTTACCGCATGATGATTTTGACAGATTATTTGAAATATTAGAAGAATATAAATATGTCTATGATAACTGGGTTATTTTCACATTGAAAAGGTCGACACAAATTCTTTAAGGGATTTCAAGAACTTATTCTAAGTGTGTCGCTTCGGTGACTATGAAGAAAAGAGAGCGTTGGGATGCGCGCATATTTTAGATAACACGGTTGCAATCCGACGGATTAATTGTGACCATATATATATTCTATTTTTAAGCATTTTATTCTGCTTTTCCTGAGAGAATTTTTTACCACACTAGAAATACCAGGCTTGTTGCAGCCACCATGGGGGGGGGAGTACGTCATGGCTCACCCAATAGATGGGTCCCTAGTGTAATGCACCCACAGCATGAAGGTGGTTACCAGTCACCCTGCTTGAATACCTTTTTTGGTATCTTGCCTTCGTACGTATATCGTGTTCAAGTCTGTTGGGTAGGTTTTTGACCTATTTATTATCGTAGAGCCTGAAGGACCTAAATGAATGATGATGATGATGATGATGATGATGATGATGATGATGATGATATTGATGATGATGATGATGATGATGACGATGATGTTGTTGATGACGATGATAATGACGATGATGATAATGATGATGATGACGATGCTGATGTTGATGACGATGATGATGATAATGATAATGACGACGAAGATGATGCATGAGTATAACAGAGAAAATCTTCGGTTTCGCGAATGTTATATCGAGTGTGAGGTAGGCTTAACTCCGCAGTGAGTAGTGATAAGCATTTAGAAATGTTCCTAATGGCTAATTTACGTTTCATCAAAGATAAATAATTAATAAGTGATCATTATTCATAAATTTTGTGTGACCGAAATTTTTTAACGCGAAGGTGTGGCAACTATTATGTGGCAAATATATTACAATATCGGAATATATATTTATATATTGTAACTGAAAACTATACATATTTGCATACTTATCAATATATACATAATCTCATAAAATTAATGATTGTTACAGTGATTTTACAATTGCATATAGGTCAACTAAACAGACACTTGCGTATCTATTCATCTCTGCTACCTGATGTTATTTTACCTTGGCTTCACTAATATACTCTATACTAACATCACGTGATCTCAACAAATGTTCAGCATAACTACTGTACGTTAGGATTTGCATATCACACTATACGTAAAATCATAGATTCATACAAACACGTGTTTGTATATATTTATGGTGAAACGTTGCTGCAAGTTAGCATTTTATTTATATACCACGCTCTCGATTATTTCTTACGGCGAGACTTAGTAAGCGCGCTCAGTATGCCACCTTTTTTCTTCTCCGAATAATCAGGTTTTGGTTCGTAGAACGCGTCAACAGACCTCATGCCAATCCCACTGCTAGTGCCCGGCCGTCGGGCAAGCGCCGTAACGTCGCCATTCGTGGTCACGCCGTTCGGTCGACCAATCGGAACGTTGTAAACCAGCGTTTCTTTTGCTGCGTACTTCGTGCGATCTCGCTCGATCGTCTTGAATCGCCTGGGCGACACGGAGCGCCCTCTTCTGTCGGGAATGCTCGTCGTTCCGGCAAGCTGAACGACGCGCGATCGGTCGACGCTCTTCGTGCGACCCTTGTTCTTGATTTTCGGCGGCAACGAGCGCCCCCTGTTGTCTGGACTCATGTTGCGAATGAGTCCGAGTCCGCCAGAGGTCGCGTGCGACGCGCTTGCGCCGAGGCTCCGCGCACGTGATCTGTCGATCGTCTGCGTGCCTGCATTGCGTCGGCTCGCCCGCGCTGCTCCGCCGACGATTTCCGTCGTCTGTGTGTCGTAACCGTTTTCTGTGCTGTAACCGTTGTCGCCTGACTCGGAACTGATCTCAATAGTCTGCGCTCTCTCATCGAAGTCGCGATTCGGGTGCCTGCCGCCGCGTGCGGGATCTTGGATAGGTACCGCATCGGCGGGCGAGCTCTCGCAGTCTGGCTTGTGCGGTCTGTACTCTGAAACGTCGCCACCAGCTCTGTTCTCCGGTCGGTGACCGTTTGTGAACCACTCGAATTCGCCGGAAGGTGGCATACCGTTTGAAGGTCGGCTGTACTGTCGTTGTCCCATTGCAGTTACATCTCCGATTAAGGGAGCCTCCCCGTTTTGAATACGATGATTATTTTGCTGTGGCCTGTAGTCTTTTATTGCGGTGGATTCAGTCGCGGGCCCGTACCCATTACCATATCTGCTGGCATTTTGAAATGTGTTAGGGTTAACGTGAGTTTCTTCTTGCTGCAGTGTTCCTGGATCGTTGGGAATCCTTGATGAGATATCGCGCGGTCGGTACCCATTCCGAATTTTGTTGTGGATGGGTTCAGCGTATTCGTGCAGGCCGACATCTCTAACGGGATACCAACTCCCATTCGGGTAGTTGTTGGCAAGTCTTGTGCTTTCCGTGCTAATATGATCCGTCGTTTGACAATCGTAGCCATTCTGAAACCTGGTTGCGACCACCGGCCCGTAACCGTGCGTGGGGCACGCTTGCGGATACCACATCACGTCTCTGTTTGAATATTGCGCTGGTTGTCTGGTAGGTACCAGGTAACCATCGGACCGGAGTCCATCCTGGGTCACCCCGCTCCCCTCCTGTGCATACACCTTCTTGTGTCCGTTCTTCAGGATGCCTCCCTTCTTCGGTTTCGCCGCAGTCTCCGTCGGATAGTCATCGGCGATCACCACGGTCGTAACGAGGCCGCTCTGACAGCCGTCAGGGGTCGTGCGCTGACTCAGCTGCTCAGGTGTTTC